AAATTTTTCACTTGGATCAGTATTATTATTAGTATTACTCGTCATGATTGTTATAATATGGTAATATAATTAATGCGCATAAATATATAAATTAAGTGAATACAGCAAATTCAATCTGAAAATAATTATAACCACATTGTAACTTCGAAATCACATGACATTATAATAAGCCTCAGTGAAGCAATATCATGTGTTTTAAATCTATGAATCGGAGATCAGCATAGAAGTATTTTAGAGAAATGGTACTAACTGTACTTATTGCAGAGCAATGACCCTTTGGGTCTACCCTTAAGCAAAATTTTTATCTGTGATTGCTAGCGAAGATCAAGCGATCCTGGCCCATACTAAATAATTCGTGAATGAACAGATCGCTAAACCCAAAATAAGATTTTATAAAATCTGCAAATTGGTTTGTTAATAACAGGAAGTATATTATATAATAGGATAAGTGAATTATAAATTGCAGAGACTTATCTAGTCAAAATTCGGATAATTATATTGATTTGGATATTATATCCGTTTACTTTTATCTAACAAATAATCCTGGGCAGTAAAAAAATAATATATAATCAGGTAAGTATGAAATGATAAGAAAAATTTTCATCATTAACCAACTCATCATAACCTATACTATGAGTAACGAATCACTTAGCGAAGGAGAACTTACCAAAATACCCAAACGAGAAGAATTATTAAAAGCTTTAGGAATAAATATCTTAAGAGGTCATCCAAACTCTCTTGCAAGTAATATCACAATACCAGAGCTAGAGAATTGCCATAAATGTAATGAAGAAATTTTGTTAAATCTACTCAAAGCATTTATCACACTCATATACTTCATCACAACTGTCTTGAAAAAAGTAATAGAGATAAGCAAAAAACTTGTCCCATTTGTTTCGTAGATAATGAAGGAACGGCATCAGCTGAAGTTCAGGACATAGATATGTCAGAGGCAGTGGAAGATGAAGGTAAAGAAACCTCTAATCTAACGGGGGCAGTAAGTAAGTTATCCGTAGATGGTGGTAAAGCTATCCCACAAAGTGAAACAAAATTCATGGAACCTGATAAAGTACAAGGTTTAATAAAAGAACTATCTATGCCAAGTGAGCTGATTGATGATAATGATAGAGAAAATAAGAGCAAGGAATCAAAGCCAAAAACTTTACTTCAATTATACTATAATGCAAGCCGGGCAGAAAAACGTGTAATCTGAGCCTACCAAGAAGAAATTAGGTGTTAGTACCTGTTTGCTGAAAAATTCGAAGAAAGAGTCAAAGAAATTAAAAGTGATAATAGTAGATTCAATGATCAACAAGCTAAAGAGTTAGTATATGGTGAAATTGCAACCAATCTTCTGGGCTTTACAAGAGAAAGTTTGCGTAAAAAAACAGCAAAGACAAGAAATATCTATAAGTTGTTCGGAGAAAGTTATG